GTCTTTGCTACATTACGAAGCTGCCTGTCTACCAGACTTATTTTATAGGTGCTTAAAAATGAAACCAGGAGGAGTTAATGCTTGCCCTTTAATTTTTCACTATTTTTAACACAGGCACAATTGACTCTGTGATTTGAAGCTTCAGATCCTGTCTTAAATATCAGGAGATGCTTTCCAGAGACAACTTTTGTTAAACTATCTTAACTGTATAACAGCTGGTGCTCGGAGTGACATGCTACATCTTCTAGGTTGATTTTTCTGTAGAATATTTCAAGAGACATGTTTCTCCAGCAAGGCTACACACATTTTAGAGAAGGGCTATGCTTGGGTGTGTTGTTCATCTTCTGTTGAGGTGACAGTATATTATTAGTTGTGAAATGTTTGCAGGGTCGAAGGGAGAAGTGAGAAACCTCACGCACAGAATGCATCAGTTTCTCTTCAGGAAATCCTTGTGGCTTGCTGTTCCTGTCTAGCAGTGGGTAAACTTTACTGAAAAGCTGACACATCAACAACCTAAAAAAGAAGAAAAAACAATCAAGGATTCTGTCAGAAACTTCAGAACCTGTAACCTGGGGATACAGCACCAGAGAGAAAACACACACAAGCTGCGTCCAAATGAGTGCGGACATGCAGGATGTGGCTCCGCAGACCTGCCTGCAGCACCGCACACTATGTATGCGGGCATTCCCTGCGCAGCTACTTTGCAGCGCAGGAGTGTCTTCTGACCCCAGGAGACCCATGCCAAAAAAAAAGTAGAGCAAAGCACGTGGCAGCAGCATGCACTACCCAAAACTGGAACCTGACCAGCCAGAGCCATGCTCCGGCTACTGGCCGTACTCCCAGCTGCAGGAGTGCTGCAGCTGCAGGTCCCTGAGGCCCCCAGGACTCCAGGTAAGGCTGCTGGGACCAGCACAGTTGCTGGCCCCAGCCTCCCCTACCCCACCCAGGGTAACCTGCCGTGCACCAGAGGGCATAGGCAACATGTAGGGGGGGCACATGCCCTCCCTGAGAGTGCTAGTGCCCCCCTGA